CGGTGCGTGGGTCCCCCGGGCCCCAGGTCACACGCACGGCCTCGAACCCGGCTTTTGGCACACGACTCTTCGATTGTGATTGTGATGATGAGGGCTACGTCATCCCGGCTGGACGCCTCGCCTCCTCGAAAGGTAGCAATTCGACGCGATGCCTGTGATGTCACACTTGACGACTGCCGCATGAGACGGAACGCTATTTTTAACTAAGGATCTAGAAATAACACACGGTTGCCAGCCACGGAAATCGACTACACCAACGACTAACACACACATAAGTTCAATGATGAAACATAAACAACAACAACAACAACAATGCTGGACACTCAAAAATCAGCTATAAACAACCTTCAGCACGATTTTTTTGAAAAAATTCCACGTTATATGCTGTCTATGCAAAAAAATCTGGAGTGAACATAACACGACTTTCCTTATCCTACTTATTTGGAAAAAAATCGCGTTAGTGCTAACTGCCGGATTGTCGCGGGTTCGAGTCTGGGGCGCAGTTTTTTTTTAGTTCGGTACCCATTATTATTACTATTTTATCACATTTTACTGTTTAATAAGGTATATTTCATGATTGTAAATAATTTATTGTATCTTCAATCGTACCTATAATTTTGCGTTCGCTTTATGGTCGACTTTTAGTCTTTGCGGCCGAACGGTGCGACCGATTTTTACCAATTGTTTCGTACTGCGTCCCCTTCCTATAAGTGACTTACATACCAAATTTCAAGTTTCTAGCTTTTATCGTTTTCTAGATATGGCCTGAGAATGGCCGAAACCAACTTTTTTGGTGTCTTGAAGCTATAATTCGTCCAGAAATGTAAAAATGTACAGTGAGATCAAAAAGTCTGTCTATTAAGCAAACGTAGAAATTTAAAACGTATGTCTGTGGAAGATAAAATGTCACAATGACAAATGAGAAATGTCAAAATAAATTTTATGTAAATTATAACAGGAAACCGTGGTGAATGATTTTTATGAATAAACACCAACAAAATCTCATTTTAGGATATTTTGAGACGTTTCATAGAATAATTCAATTTAATTAGCTTAGTCTTTTAATTTTTATAAAATAATTTTTTGACATCTAGATAACATACGTCCTCAACTAGAACGCCTCTTTGATAGAAAGACTTTTTGATCGCAATTTCAGCCGATTATAATACTTTCCATGAAGGATAAGGAAAGTAAAAATGCAAAAATTTTATTATTCTTTTGTGGTCAGGACAAAATTTCAGTAAACACTACATTTTCAATGTAATAGTGTTTATAGAAGCTTTACATATCTTCTGTTTCTATTTTGATTTTCTTTCTCTCTTATTTTTGTGTTATTTTTGTCTTCTTCTTATTTCTGTCGCAACAGCTATTAGTTATTCAGGGCTATTAAAAAGGCTATTAAAGGCTAAAAAGGTCATTAAGGCTCTGATGAGCACTTGGTACATACAAAGTTTTTCGTCGTATACTATAGTAAAAAAAAATCCCACGACCATATACGAAAGTAACTGTTTCCATACAGCAATGAACGAATCGATTATTCTCCTAACTACACGTGTGTGTTATGAAAATAACGTAAGAGCCACCGACTAGTTAAACCTAAATCAGCTTATTTAAGTAAGTATTTATTTAATATTAATAGACGTCTAATTTAAGAGAAATATTTTAAATCGTTTTGAATAATGGTAGTTTTTTGTTGTCATGGGGTTGCGGGACCTTGGAAAAAATAGTATATATAACTCGCTGGAACGTGTTTAACGCACTCGTGGGGCTGACGCCTCGTGCACTTGTGCGTTATTTGTCACTTTCTGTGCTCGTTACAAACAAATTATATTTTTTTTTAATTTAAGGATGATTCAAGTAATAATTTGTTTCAGAAAAATACGTAAGCTTCAAGTTCGACTATTTTTTTTATAATAGGATAATATAATAGGTTAATAGTATAAATGAGACTTTGTTTTGAAATTGCTTTTTTGGAGCAATTTTGATGTTTGCCAACATCAACCAACAAGTGGTTGATAATAATTTAAAACTGAGATAAACTTTAAGTAAAATCAAAGTAAAAAAATAGAAAAAATAGAGCAAAGTTCTGTTTACTAAAAATGCAAAATTTCCTGTTCTTTTAGCAGATTTTAAGTAGAAGAATTTAATTGCAATCAATGCAACAGAAATTTCAAAACAAAATTTGTTTTTACAGAATTGGACAAACAAACAAGAAAATAGAATGTTGAGTCACTTATCTTAACTAAGATTCATTTTTGGTATTTGTTTTAAAAAAAATTCTGAAAAACATAATTTACAATGTTAATTATAAAATTAGTGTTGATTAAATTTAGTTTTTTTTTTGAACTTGAAATGTTACGTTTTTTAAAAGTTAAGAGACCTCAGTTTGAATCCTGGACAAGTTGATAGTATTTAAAAAAAATAAAAGGAATAAAGGCGTACAAATAAGTAAAAAAATCTATAACAATCTTAAAGAAAGAGTAAAAAAACCTGCTTAAATAATGAATAATAATAATAATGAAAATAGAGGGGCTGTAACCTGAAATAATGTGTACAACTAATTCCAACTCAAAAAAATTCTACCGAAACTCCAGTATTTACAAAGAAGCCTACTAAAATTTCAAAAATCCATCGTAATTCTTCTGTTTACAAATTAATTCTTGGAATTCAAACTTAATTTCCGTAAATCCCACTTGATTTTCGAAATTTCAAAATAATTCTTATAATTCCATAAAACTAAGAAATTCAACGTAATTTTCAATAATTCGATAATTACAAAAAAAATTCCAATAATTGACGAAAAATTAATTTTCGTAATTCCAAACAATGTAAAGATAATTTTAACAATATTTACACATAATTGTAAGCAATTTCAATTGAATTCAAAAAATTTGTACAATTAATTCCCCTAGATAAAAAAAAAATAAGATCGAACACCATTTGAGTTTCAACTGGTTATGTTTTTAAAGCAAAAATGAAATCGTTTCATATTTCTATAATAAAAATCTGAGGCTTATTTTAAATTTTCTCCTGAAACGTAAACAAGCAATTTCTCTCGTGAGGGATTTTTGGAAAACTTTTTTGGTACATTGTCGTCTGAAATCTATTTTCCGAGCCGTAAAATCGCGTAAACGCTCGAAATTTGGTCAATGAAGGCGAATATACATAAATCCACGTCATTTTTCCATTTCCCCATTCGAACATTCATCATTGGCAATAAACCGCTAAAAATAATCACACACTAATCGAACAACGTAAACGACATCACATCATACATCACTTACGACATGCACTGCTTTTAGCCACTTTTCTGAAAATCAGCCGGAAAATCGAGCTATTTTAAAACTTTCCGCGATATTTTCGGATAATAACAATCTTACTCACTTTGCAATTATTTCGTTTACTTCTGATCAAGATCAAGATTTGGGGTTGACATATTTTCGCTCCGTGAAGGTTAAAAATAGTAAAGAATGTCGTCGTAAGCTTAGCCACAACAGCGGTGTAAAATTACAAAAATCCAACCATTGGCACGTTTCGAAAAATCCCTTATCCAGAAGTTTCGCGATAAAAAATTACGTTTTATTTCCATTCATAAAGATTGTAGTTATTATCTCCCAGTTTCCGTAACGGCTGGAAGTCCAAGTTCCGGGAAGCAAGATGAGATTGTTTTTGGAAGAACATTTGATAAAGTCGATCAAACAATGCTTTTCGCAGCCACCTAATTGACTTATCTCGAGTGTCACTGCTAGTAATACAGGAGATGACAATTAAGCGGCTTCTTGTACGGTAAACGTGACATTTTCTCTCTCCGTTATCGTCCTGGTGATGGAGCGAGAAGGCCGAAACGTGGCGAGAATTTTGCTGTTGATAAGCCGACGTGAGGTATGCGCTGTGTCCGACATAACTTATATTTAATTAGCCGGTGATCCGTAAGAAAATCGGACCTCGTGAGCCATATATCACAGTTGGCAATGCAAAACAATGGACAGATAGGCGCAAGCGGCTTGATACTTTCAGTAGTTGGGACCGCAAAATCCCGGATTAAATTGAGCGTGTAATCTGATACTAATTCTCTGACAGCGTATTATTGTGCTCAACTAATGAATGAGGTGTCTTGTCCATCATCTAAGTTATTTACTTGCCCAAATTTAGACAAATGGTTGAGTTGGGGGGCCGGAAGGCCGGTTATTAAAGGCTAACGGCCTCTGTGTTCAAATTTGCAGAAAACTCAAGTAATTACAATATAAACTACTTAATTAAAAACAAGAAAATCGCAATGAAATTAATTAATTCAAGGTATTTTTGGGCTAAGTATTAGAAAATTTGAATTAAAATAAAAAAATTGGTCAAAAATGTGTAACATTAAAAAAATACGCGATTACAGAAAGATTTTTAAACACAAACATTCTCTATATGATCAAAATCCATGTAAAATGAGAAGCTAGCCAAAATGATAACAAAAAGAACAATTTCACAAAACTGACAAAAATTTTGTTTTTAAAATAAAAAAAAATAATTTAGTTTTGTTTAAAACAAATTAAAATATTTCATAAAGCACATAAACTGATTTAAAACTTCACTGAAATTTCCAGAACCGTTAGAACTTTACAGATTGTTTTGGGATTCTAAAGCTTTCAAAAGCTTCCAAAATTATTAAAATCATTGTTTTTTTTTCATTGCTTTCTACAAATTATTACTGATTTAAGTAAAAACCGAACTACTAGTTTCTGGATTTCAAAAACTGTCAGAACTTTGCACAATTTACTAGAATTTTCTAAAAATCTTAGAGAATCTCTAAAAACAATCATGAATTTATATAAAAATTATTTAAAATCAAAGAACCAGTTTCTAACACTATTAGA